TCAGAAATAACATCGAAAAGAGTGAATAAATCGAAAAAGAATTAATAATAGTTTTGAGATAAAGGAGAGCAATATAGAACAAAGAGAAAAGCAATAGAGTGAAGTGGTGCAAAATAAAAGCACATTAAAAAATAGTCTGTGGGTTCAAACCTAGTTTTCTGACAAATGGGTGAATTTTTACCAATGTAAATACCCAGGCCAAACATGTGACTATTGGGGTCTTTACAAATTAAAAGAAGATAGCCATCAACGCTAAGGTTACAAGATGAGACAGGTGAATTCAAATTAATCTCACCAAGAGTCAGTTGAACAAGAGATAAGATTCAACAGAAGATAAGTTACTTTAAAGACTTCGAATGTGAACTGTAGGTTTAGAGAACTTGGTGATGACAATGGTTTTTTGTGTTTTATAGTTTTTGGTACTTTAGTCATTTTAAACTTTTTAAAGAACTTGACTCAAAGCATAAATAGTACTCAGTACAATTTATAATAGTCCAAGTAATTGCCTTATTATTAATAACTAGCTGATTTTGGCCGCGTAAAAATACGGGTCTTTGTATACCGATTCCAAACAGAACTTTTATATACTTTTTTCTTTTATATCCTAGCTTTCCGGATCCGTAAAATACAGGTCTTTACCAATTTACATATCTAGCCTTTACCAATTTACATTTCAAGCCTAATATTAGACAGCATATGATATTTTAATGTAAAAATTAATAAAAGAATATTATAAATATTTAATTGATAAACATTCAGCTTTCCAAGCTTTTTAAGCAGTGGATTGGCACTGGTGTATTTGTTAGCATTCAATATAAGACGGTTTACTTGTTTTTGTTTTTTTAATATACATGTTAGTCTTGACGGAGTTATTGTAGCTATAATTAAATAAAAAGTAAATTTTAAAAGTAAAAAACATTTATATTAATAGATTTTAAACAGTTTTTATCCAACCTATATCTTATACATATTTTCAAAACTTTTTGAAATTTTATTTTCATTTACTAATATAATCGCAGCATTTGACATACTACTGTGATCAAAAAGTAAGGTGAATTTTTAATTTAAACTTCCCGCCTTATTCGAATCGTCCAATCTTTTTTATTTTTAAGTTGGTAGGAATGTCATTAACATTTGCGCCAAATTACATGTCGAACTCATAATTATTTTTTTTTTGTTTACGCTTGTTTCTGAAGTACCAAAAGTGCATTCGGCGATTTTCACGATGTCTAATTTTGTTGAGCAAAGAAGTGCTATTAAATTTTGTTTGCGGAATGATATTTCTGCTGCTGAAACGTATCGAATGTTGCAAAAGGCCTTCGGTGAAGAGACTATGTCTCAAAAAAATGTTTACAAGTGGTACAAAGACTTCAAAGAAGGCCGAGAACGTGTTGATGACTTGGAACGCTCTGGACGACCATCGACTTCGATCGATGATCGCCACATCAACAAAATCAAAGAATTGGTGCTTGCAAATCGTCGGTTAACCATTCGAGACCTTGTTGACATGGTTGGAATATCATTTGGGTCGTGCAAGCGATTTTGAAGGATCATTTGGGCCTCAGAAGACTCAAATCACGTTTGGTGCCGAAATTTCTCAATTTCTTTGAAAAAGAGCGTCGCGTTAAAGCGTGTGAAGCAATGCTTTCTGACTATCAAGACGTCTACAAACAAATTATTACTGGCGATGAGACTTGGGTCTACGCATACGACCCTGAAACAACCGACCAATCAAGTGAATACCGTGAAAAAGGCGAGCCGAGACCGAAGCAACCACGTCAAAGTCGCTCAAAAATCAAGGTCATGTTGACTGTTTTCTTTGATTATTGTGGTGCCGTGCACTACGAATTCCTTCCAACTGGCCAAACTGCCAACAAGGAATATTATTTAAGCGTTATGCAACGTTTGCGTGAAGCTATTCGCAAAAAGAGACCGGAATTATGGGCCAATAACTCTTGGATTTTGCACCACGATAATGCGCCTTCGCACACAGCACTGGTTCTTCGTGAGTTTTTTGCCAAAAACTCTACCCATGTTGCTCCACAACCATCGTATTCACCCGACTTAGCACCGTGTGACTTCTGGCTGTTCCCAAAGCTCAAGAGACCACTCCGGGGAAATCGTTTTAAGTCCATTGAAGAGATCCAACGTGAATCGGCACGCGCATTGAAGGCTATCCCTACCGAGGACTTTTCGGCATGCTTCGAAGACTGGAAAAAACGTTGGCAAAAGTGCATTGGGGCCGGGGGGGATTATTTTGAGGGGGACGATACAGATTTGGAAGAATAAATAAAGATTTTTCATTTTATAAAAAAATTCACCTTATTTTTTGATCACAGTAGTATGTTTCATTAACCGTTAGCATGGTAACTGCAAAAAGATCTTTCAGCACATTTAAAAGAATGAAAATATTTTTAAGGAAACAATGGCGCAAGACTGTTTTATCCATATTTCCCCCATTTTTAACTATCGAAGATATATCTTATCTATAGGTATCTAACTATAGTTATATCGTTATAACTATATTATATACCATATACTTATATATATTATATAACTATATATATATATATATATATATATATATATATATATATATATATATATATATATATATATATATATATATATATATATATATATATATATATATATATATATATATATATATATATATATATATATATATATAATATATATATAGGTATCTAACTATAGTTAGATACCTAAAATAAGGTAAATATAGATAGTTTTTAATGTTTTGCAGGTATCACTGACTGAGATATACTTTTGTGATTGCATTTTTAATTACTTAAAATGGACATAAACTGTTCCCTTGAAGTCATACATTTTAAGCATAATAACAAATAATTGTTTTGGATGTTTGTCTTTATTCTACCTTTATGTTGTCTCTATTCTAGGGTTGACGATTTTCTCTATAGTAGGTTATAATAGAGACACTGTGCACCAGTAAAGTTACCAGTGTTCCTAAATTGCCAGACAAGGTTACTAGTTACCAAGGCACCTAAAGGTTTAGTTACCAGTTACCAAGGCACCTACCAGGTTACCAAGGCACCTAAAGTGCACTAGTAACATTCAAAACTACTAGAATGTTGTTTTTCCTCAAGTTGAAGACAAATCACTAAAGAGTGATATTCCTCAGCTTGAGGGAAAACAAAGTGAAACCTATTCCTGTTTTTTGCAGGACGAGAAATGTTCCAAGGCATTCTCCCGAGTACAAAACCTGATCAATTTGACCAAGATAAAATATCCGTTTCTTTCAAGAGTTCTGAGCGCAACTGACAACAACCCACACTTGCTCAGTTTACCCCAATATTGGATTTTTTATCCTATAAACTAGGAATCAATTAAAATATATTAGTTAACATTAAGTTTATATGCAAACATTAGGTTTTTATGCAAAAAAAAACTTGACAATTGCACCGTCAGTGCTTTTGTCTATGCCAAAACGGATTTTTTAACACTTACTTTTTTCATATTTTCGGGCTTCCTGTTTTGCAATTATTTCTGCAATAGGTAATGTCACAGCGAAATCAAAATGCTATTAACTATATGGGCCTGACTTATACTTAACAGAAAAAGTTTCACTAGCCTATCAGCTGTCCTTGCTACTTTGTGGACATATAAAAACGTATCTGGTCTCCGTCCCTATTTACCTTCCTGTTCCTATTTACCCCATTATATGGTGGTCCGATTTGTAGCTATGAAAGCAAAAAAAACAACACTTTTATTATATTTTTAACATACTAGACTTACATTCTGTAATATACTGGTTTCTATTTCATTAAAGTAAAGTTTATTAAAGAAAAAAGTGGTTGTTTTCATGTATAACTTTTTTGTCAAATATGAAGGGAAAGGGTGGTAAAAAAAAGAAATATAGTGGCTTTTGTTAAGCCCATTTTTTGTCTCTAGGCTAATTGTTTTCAGTAGTAATTTATTATTAATTTTGAGTAAATAATGTTAGTATAATAGTACATTTAAGTTAAAAGTTTTTACAAATTCATTTCTTTATTTTCTTTTTGAAAATAAAAGAAATACTGAATTTGTAAATATTGTTAGGCTCAAAGTTTTTTCTGAAATTTGACTTTAGAAATCTTTTTGAGAAAAAAATCAGATTATTATTTTTTTTTTTAATAAATTTGAAAAAAAGTCAAAAAATTATTTAAAAAAAAAATAAAAACTTTTAAAGCCTATTTTTTGATAGAAACTAAATTACTCATTTAACTTTAAGTTTTTTTAACTATAAAATCTTTTTGAAATATAAAAAATATTAAATAACAGTTGTATGAAAAGATTGTTTTTTATCTTTAAAAAATAATTTTACTTTTTATGTTGTTAAAACTCTCTTAAAATTTTGGTAATTTCTCTCTCTTAATTTTATTAAATTCTTAAATTTCTTAATTTAATTTCAACTCTTAAATTAATAAAAAAAAATTTTCTCTCTCTTAATCATAGGGTTAGAAGTATTTTTCAACTTCCAAACGCTTTATATATAAAATATTTTACAGCTGCGTGAAAAACAATTTGATCTATAGCAAAGCGGGATTCAAATTTTATACTTCTCGCTTACAAATGGGCGCTCTACCATTAAAGCACATGAAATATGGAAGAATATTTAACGAAAGCTCTTTTTACGCCATAAATTTTACAAAAGTAGTTGCTTTCGAAACCAAAATTAAACATTGTTTTTTGACAGTTTAATGTTTAACAATATTTTTGTGCACACATTATGCTGAATTTATAAAATTCAAGCTCAATATTACGTTCATAATATTGTTAAGCATATGTTAACCTTGTTTAATTATCCGCATGGGCAGTGATGTTAAAGTGAGTTTCAGACTTTCAAAAACCGCTAAAATAAAGCTGCTAAATAAAATTGCTATTTTAAAGTTTTTGATTTGCCAAATGTAACTTTATATATATATATATATATATATATGTATATATATATATATATTTTTGTTTGTGTTTTATTTTAGGTCCTTTTTATAGATTGTAAATTCCGCAATAAAAATTATTTGATATGCATTACATTATGAAATGGTGCTGAATGAGAAGAATTTGAAGAATGAATGTTATCCTAAACTTTTTCTTGTTTTTATATATTTCATGTATCTTATTTAAATCTGGTTAGTACTTGTGTTAGTTACCGATGTTTTGCTTTATTTTAATGACATATTTTGTTTTACTTTATATATAAACTTTCTTGTTTTGTTTGTTTTTTAAGTGGTTGGCAAAAATAACGATCCTCATAAGTTATTATTAAACAACTTATATCAGAGACCTTTATCTCAATACTGGAACAAACAATCTGCTTTAAAATCTGAAATTCCTACTTCACTGTTGACAAATTCTCGCGGTAAAAACCATGACAAAAACAAAAAAGTTGAAACAGCGAACTCAACAAACTATAAAAGATGGGGACCAAAATTTGTTATTATTGAAAGCATCAAGCAACCAAACTTTATTAGACCACATTTAGATAAAAATAGTCAAATTCTACAGTATAATTATGGTAATCCGGGTGAAGAAGTTCCTACTTACAGTTTTTCTTATAGAAAACAACCTTCAGTTTCAAAGGCTCTTGAAGATTCAAAAAGACAATGGCAAACAATGTTGCCAGAAAAAAATGCAATCAAGTCAAGAATACTTGACAAGGGACATTATAACCGCTACGAGGAGAATAGCGATTCATTAGCCTACGCACACAGTCTTGAAGATCAGCAAGGATTTAAAACCATAAACCGTTATGCCGAAAATGACAATAAACCAAAAACAAACTTTTTTCCACAACAACAGAATGGGCATCGCAGAATAATGACACCTGAAAAATCTGAAGAAGAGTTAGCAACATCGTTTCTAGATCCCTCTTCATATAAACGGAATGGACGTGAAAACACCAGTACTTTTAAAAGTCCAATTTTTAGGGAACTTGACTTATCCAAAAACTTAAAATCCAACATGGACAATCCACATCTGAAAATCAATGTTGCTGAAAATAAAATATTTAACGTTCCACATCAGCTGAAGCCAAAACTTTCTGACCTAAACAATGCAGAAAAAAAAACAGTCAAAAATTACCCCGAGAGTGGGCATTACTTACCAGAAAAAAGTAGCAACTTTTTTCCTGAGACAAAAATCTCCAATTCTATTTCTGATTTGTTTAAAGAAACTGGGAGCATACGATCTGTACCATCTGATGTATATCCTAACGCAGACAGAATGGACGAACCTCAATATCAGTCAACTGAAAGCGATCCAAGTAATGAAAGTAAAAACAAGAATAACGAAGAAACAAACGTCCAAAGTAAATTAATAAAGCCGTTAAATAAAAACTTTGAGACGCACAACAATAAAGATCGTTTTGTCCTTGATGAACCCAAAAAAAACTTTCAATCTTCTTTTTTAAAAGATTATAAATTTGAGCACGATTATAAAAATAACATTTTGTTTAAAGACAATTCTCCTCTTTATAACGCTGTAGAACATAGAGAACTAGACAGGATAGAAAATCATTCAGAATCAAATTTGAACAAGAAAGTAGAAGAACTAAAAAGTCAAAGTAAAGGTATATATTTATTTTTTGTTTTGTTATTAAAAAACAAAAAACAATAAATTTATAATTTGATGAAGAGGTACTACGTTAAACCCTCTATGATGAAGAATATGAAGAAACAAACACTGCAGACGAAGCAGCAATTGTGTTTGTAAAATTTACTTTGTTATGCTGTCTTTGAAAGAGTGGACCGATAGAGTGTTCACCTATGCTTGCGTTTTCACAAGCATAAATAAACACATACTTGCGGCCGAATGTAAATAAGATACAGTGTGCGCCATAATTGAAAACTGCGGCTGCAAAATACTTTTATGAGTCGCTCTAGGATTCTATTTGCTATTGATTTGGTTGACTCAACTTATTGTATGATTTTAAGGTAATTGATTTGAGATCATTTCATAACAACAAGGTCTCGTTTGACAACAAACCTTTGGAGCGGGCAACCCATGTCGTCAACGTTAGCAGTTGATTATTTAAGCGTTAACTTGTTATATACATCATGCATCCCTTCAACTTTCTCAACGTTTCAATGCATGAGCTAAATATGTAACAACTCAACTCCTTTGTCGATTTCGGTAGGGAAGCGGTCTAACTCATTTTCAATTATGAAAATAATTTTACTGCTGTCGGCATACAGTTTCATACGGTGAGCAATTAAAATTGTTGTTTTCAAAAATTTTTGTATCAACAAATTAAAAAAAGTTAGCTTGGTAAAATTCTGATTTTTGTTAATAATTAAAGTAGAGATATACGCAGGAATTTTCCGTGTAAAACAAAAAAAAATTTAATAAAAATTATTTTACATTTATTAATAAATTATAATCTGTAGTCAACCGAATCATATTCATTGCCATTCCCAAGGGACAAGTTATCTAAAAATCAAAAAATATATATGAAATGACAAATAAAACACTGACTTCACAGATACACTAGAATGCAAAAATATTTCTTTAGGGATACATGATATGGAGATTTTATTCTAAAACAATAAATAATCTGTTTATCATCTGTCGTATCAGTAAAATATCGCTTTAATTCAGATTTGAAATTTTTTTTGAAGTTGAAACACTTTTCTTTATCTCGTGAAATAGTCGTTTAACACTAGGTCCTGATTTTAAATCTTAACTGTTGTCTATTTCTGACATAAATAAAATTCGATAAATAAGTTGACTAAAATAAGTAGTAAATTATAAAAATAAACAATAAATAACAAATAAAATATTATTAATAGATAATATACTATGTAGATAATAGTGCAAATTGTCAACAATTTAAGTAACTATTTTTGGTTTCAAATAATTTTTATTGATTGTTGTTAAAACAATAACTTTTTTTATTGATGTAATGATACAATTGATAAATATACAGTTGTCTTTCATTATACAGTTGTCTATACAAATAATTGTTTAAACACAAAATATCTAATTGATCTTATTTTATGTTTTATTGCATTCTCCAACAAACTCTTCTTTATTTCATTTCTTGTATATAAGGTATTCGTGGCTGGATCTAAAAAACAACAAATCCTATGGAAATTGTTCTTCTAAAAATATCTTTCACTTCAGCAAGAAATCAAAGATTGTTGTACAACTTTATATTTGCTTCACCATGTGATTAAAAGTAAAACTTAAAATTCATGTATGATACAATTTTTCTGCTTTATTCTAATTACGTATGCGATCACATTTCAATATTTTATGCAAGATATGAGGCAGGCAATTTTTTAGATCTTTTGAGCCTATGAGTTAAGAAAAATATGTTGAAAAGTTTTTAGAGAAGTTTTCATCATATTTCCTGTACCATCTTGCACACAATGTAACTTCAAATCTCTGAAAAAATTGGAACAATGTCTTTAATAAAACTATGACAGTTACAACCTTTATGAATTTCTAAAGGTAAACATGAAAAAGTTTTTTCATTTTTCTATCCTAGTTATTATTAATAACGAAAAACTTTAACTAATTTTTTCGTACTTGTTAGTCTAACCGTCAAATCAAACTATAGCCGCATCAATACCTTTTAAATTTCCCAATAGCGATCGCCTTAAAGATTTTAAATATCAAGTAGAGCAACTTGACTTATAGCAGAACCTGTGGGAAGTCTCAGCCCGACATTTTTCTTTTAAACATTTCAAACTCCGCATAATTAACATTAGAGGACAGCATTCGATTTATAGAAAACTAATGGACAAGGTGCGACTTGCATCATATTTCGATGAACTAGCTACAGAGTAATAGTACCATATATGTAAAGTTGATCATTTTTTAATTCAACAGCCGCTTTATCTGCTGATATTTTTGAGCAACTACTGCTAGATGTAGAAATTCTAACCTTGTGAACTTTTGATAAATGCACTCCAGCTAAAGACTCGACTTTATGTTTTTTTATTGAAAACATTTACTACAGTAATAGTTTTCATCGTCTATAACATTACATTTTTGTAATGTTATAAACGATTACTTTGTGTCAATATTTTAACATAGTAGTTTCATACTTATAAAGAGTTTGCAGTTTTTCTTTTAAATGAGCTGCACAGTTTAAGTATTTTAAAGAACTGTTATGCAAACTACCATGCCCTTTGTTTGTTATGCAAACTACCATGCTCTATTCTATCCATAACTATGTCTTAAAAACACTTTTTATGTTGAAATCAACTAATTTAAGTTGAAAAATGACAATTAAAGAAAGACAAAAAGAACTTATAAGCTATTATGAAAAAATATCTAATGCAAGCAAAATATCTCGGTCATTGATGTGATATCTTGAAATGAGGAACGTTTTGCAACTCTCTCCCTCTCTCTTAAGCAAACTTAAAAACTTATTTCAACATAAAGAAAAAGCTACAAAAAGGTTGTTGTTGCTTTTGTTAAGTTAGACAAGAAAATGTTGGTTTACTATACTCTCTATTATATTTTTAGCCAACAAGAGCAAATTTGAAATTGGCTGCAACAGATAACGTTGTTTGATTGGCTGCTTAATAGTTGCTAAAAACGCAAAGTGGCGGCTGTAAAAATTAAGTATAAGTAGCGAAGGCTTCTTGCTAATGGCGGTTTTCACTTCTATGTAAAACAAAGCCAGCAGAAGTTGAAACAAAAACTCTAAACGGCATCTCAGCGGTAAGAAAAGAAAAATCTACTAGAGAAAATAATGTTGCAATTTTTAATTTAAATGAATCATTAAAAATTAAAAAAAAAGAAAAATACGAGGAAGAAAAAACAACAATTATATGAAGTCTTTTCAGATATCAACTTAGATATTTATAAAATAGAAAAGCATTATAGATTTAAAAATAAAATTAGTGGGTCTAGTATTGTAATAGTAACTCTAAAGACAAAATTGGATTAACCACTTGTACTACAAGTAAATATTTAAATAATTTTGAAAAATATAAAAGCAAAGATAAACCAGAACCTTACAATTGCAGAAAGAACTTTAAGTTTTTTGTTTTTTTTTTTAATTTTATTTAGGTGCCCCAAGAAGTCCTTACGGTCTTATCACAGAGCACCGCAGATAAATATTTAATTGGAAGTTCCCGCCTTCTACTTAACCGATGTCGCAAAATTTGCCTAGAGTTAGGGTTTGAACCACGGATCCTTTGTTTATGAGGCAACTGCGCTACCACTGCGCCACGGCTGCTTAATTTTGCCTTTTCGACGTTATTAGAAAAAAACTTGAGCAAATCAAGCCAAAAATACATTCGCAGTTGAAACAAAATAATTCAGATGATCAGTTAACATGTCTATACACAAACGCAACTTCTTTAAGCGACAAAATTGACGAGCTACTGATAGAAATTATCAATTTCAAATCAAGTATAGTTTTAATTAGTGAAACTTAGCATCAAACTCGAAACACATCCCAAAATCAGTTTACACGTATATCAACAGTAAAACCAAAACTAAAGAAATTTACAAAAATGCTTTATACAAATGAAAAATTAAGTCATATTGAAAATGGTATCACTAATTATGGAATTTAATTGGCAAATATCTTAAACAAGTACTTTGTTTCAGTTTTTACCAAGGAAAAATCAAATGCCGCAAATAAAGGTAAAACAAATCAACAAATGCTGATTTGTTTTACCTTGATATCATCGAAACCTTGAAAACTAAATACTAATAATACATTTGGAGCAGATTCATCCAAAAGTTTTAAAATCTTGTTCAGTAGAGATGGCAAAACCATTATCAAAAAAAAATTGAAAAATTGTTTGAAAATGGTAATCTTAACACTGATTGGTTAAAAGCTATTGTAACACATCTATTTAAAAAGGGAAATAAACTTAATCTAACAAACTATCGACCAATTTCTTTAACGTCAATAGTGTGCAAAATAAAGGAAAAAATAAAAAGAAACAAAATAATGCTTTATTTGATAAAAAAAGAATCTAATTATTTCTCAGCGACACAGATTTGTAAACAAAAAAGTTTTTATAACAAATTAACTTAAAACACTTGACTTGATTACCAAAACACTGGCAGAGGAGTTAAATATAGATGTTATTTTTATGGATTTTGCAAATATTCAGTTGGAATTCGAGGTAAACTATTAAATCGGTGCAAAGGTTTTCTCAGCATAAAAACGCAGCGAGTAGTTTCAGGAGAACAAGTATCTAAATGAAAAAATGTTATAATCCAGTAAAAAAAATGCTTTTTTCACATGGTTTCCATATGGGATCCGTGTGAGATTAATAGGATCCCACATGGAAACCAGGTAGGAATAGCGTTAATTTTTCACTGAAATGTAGAGTTCCCAAGGATCTGTACTAAGCCCCCTACTATTTATTCTATTCATAAATGATTTTTGTGTTAATTTTAAAATGTTGTAAAGCTCGTTGCAGATTATGCAAAAGTGATTTAAGAGATAAAGAATTAAGAGGACAATTAAAATCTTCAAAACGATATAGATAAACTAAACAAATAAATGGTTAATTGAATTTAACAAAAGTAAATGCAAAACAATGCAATTTGATAAATGTAAATGAAAACATGATTATAAACTAAATGATTTTAAGTTATTAAAAAATCAATAAAAAATGTGTACTTGTGTGTGTCAATATGTATATGTATAATAATGGCAATATTGAATGATTTAAATGTATAATTTATATAAATTATTGTTTTATATTTCAGTTGACGTAAAAAAAAAAAAATTGTTACAGGAAAAACAAAGTTTATTTCAAGCATAAGGACCAGGGAATGTTTTTACATTACTTTATAGATCACTCTAGCGGGTAATTTGCTATGGCGTTACAAAACATTTAAAAGAAAACGTAGTAGTAATTAAAAATTATTTTACGTTAAATTAAAAATTATTAATTAATAAAAAATAAAAATTTATTAATTAATAAATTAATTAAATTAATTAATAAATAAATTAATAAAAAATTATTAATTAATAAAAAATAAAAATTTAAAATTAAAAATTATTTTACGTAAAGTAATTTTTTTTTTTTTTGTAGAACAAAGTATTTTATTTTCTTCCAAACTCAAGCAACGATCACACGGAATGGACAACAATGATAGAAACGAAGAATCATTTTTAAGAAATATTCCAAATGAACATAAGTCAACTGAAAGTTCTCCTATTGGAAACGATATCAATCAATCAAAATTTCCTATAGAAGAAAACTATATAAAGCATTTTATTAAAAACGACAAGTTAAACAAAAAGTTGCCTTCATTAGAAAGCATATCTGTTGAATCTATAAAACAACAGGCATTAGAAAAAAATTCTTTTGAACATAATAATTTGTTACCTGAACAAGAAAAACCGTTAATAAGACAAACCTCATTAGAAAGTGGCGAGTTTTTGTTTAACGATGACAAAAAAATACTTAATGATGAAAAGAAAAAATCAAATACTGACAAAAAGCAAGACAATTTTTCAAAAACATCTCCTTACGAACTTAAAACTAGTGAAGAAGATGAAGATAAATTTGTGAAGGTGACACAAGAGCAACGATCAACAGAGTTTCAATATAAAAAACTGAAACAAAATTCAACAAAAGCGTGTAACCGTTGCAGCGAGAAGATCAATCAGCAAGGAATCAATCATGAACACCGTTTTGAACAAAATTGTTGCGAAGAACGAGCAACTTTAGCTAAAGCTTTTGAAAATGAAGAAATAAATCCGACGCAAAAAGCAGAAAGTAAATCTTTTCCGCAAAAATCCAATTTCCACGAAGAATTTCAAGCAAAAAAGTATTCTTCTAACGTAGAATCTGAATTTGTAGTTAGTGTAAAAGAAAATATGATGTGGTTTTACGACAATTTGGTTAAACAAGCAGGGTGTAAGTAAGATTTTTAATAAGTAAAGTGCTTTCAGGTAGGTATTATAAAAATAAGTTTAAAATGAACATTTTTATTTTGTGTACTAAAGTTGTCTACATTGAACTGATTCCACAAGCTCATTTTCTTTATTTTAAACGATAACGAAGTTTCTCAACATCAATAAAAATCGCTTTAGTTTTTTCGAAGTAATTTTATTTCTTTTTTTAATAGTAATGATGGTTCAAATTATTAATTAAAAAAATTAATTGTCTCAGACTTACCTACCTCTAATCTATTCGAAAGATTAATCTGCTGCGAATACGTTTAAAAAACCTTTTGATACTGAGTCAAATAAAATAAAGAAAAAAAGTATGCACAATTTTAAAACTCTCCTTCTCGTTCAAAAAAATTCATTTTGAAATGTATCAAAATATTTTCAAATAAATATACTTTTTAAATATTCAACATAAAAAGACTGTTATAAGTTTTGCTATTTTTGTAATTTTGTGCCAAAAGCATAAAACGTACTTTGTCTATAAAAATATCTTCAGAAAATATATGTTCGCGTAGTTAATTATTTTATTAATTATCATTAAAAAAACATACCCTCCTAAAAAAAAATACCCCTCTAAAAGAAAAAACATACGCTACTAAAGTAAAAAGAAATATAACTATTCTTAGTCGGCTCTGCCTATTATCTATAAGATTACATTTGTTATTTCAACCAATATCTTTAATGTTTTTTTGTTGTTTTTTTTCCCTTTTTTGGGTAATATGGTTAAAAGACTAAATGGTTAAATTGACATTTTTGTGATTTTAGCATAAAAATACATGCCTGGGCTTTTTCAAAACATTCCTTTTTTTCTTTTGGTGGAATTATTTTAAATCAAAATTATTAAATTCTCTTAGTAAAATTTTTTATTTTGGCCATAGATACACATGTTATGAACTGTGATTCTTTTTTTTACTTTTTAGATCGTGTAATTCAATTATATTCAACTGGGTGTAATAAGGGAGATTGCTCCAACTCTATTAGTTCGATAAAAATAAATGGTGTTGAGTTAGGAGGGGGTGTAGATGGAATAAATATTGTTGTTCTCGATTATCCAAGTAAATGTTTTCTGTATAATTCTTTTTTTATTTAGTTATGGTTATGAATAAGTTTTTATATATAATAAAATTGAATTTTTTGTCTGTAGAACTATCAGTTTTTTGTTTTTATCATAGAGTATGACTTTCTATATTCAAAGACATACAATACTGGGTTCAACGAGTTTGAATCTGAAAAAATGGTCAGATTTATTGAACAGATTCAATCGTCTTCTGTTGTACTTGTTGTTTCTCAGGGAGAAGCAACTAAAGCTTTGACAGTTGAAGCTTGGAAAGCATTGGTATGATAAGTTGGCGATATAAGATGGACTTGTAAATCGATATATAAATATATATATAAATATATATATATATATATATATATATATATATATATATATATATATATATATATATATATATATATATATATATATACATGTGCATATAAATATGCAGTGCTCAAAGTGAGGGGGGGGAGAAATGCGTTGGGATGTCATATCGTCACTTTTTTATGAAGTATAAACCATCCCGCCACCTTTTTATAAATCTCTATAAATAAAAATGATTTGGAGGGATGCTATTTTTAATTTACCGCATACCATCCTGTTGCTTTTTTTTCTCCACTTCGAGCACTGTATATATATTTATATATATATATATATATATATATATATATATATATATATATATATATATATATATATATATATATATATATATATATATATATATATATATATATATATATATATATATATATATATATATATATATATATATGTATATATATATATATATATATATATATATATATATACATACATATATATTTATATTTATATATATATATATATATATATATATATATATATATATATATATATATATATATATATATATATATATATGTATATGTATATATATATATATATATATATATATATATATATATATATATATATATATATATATATATATATATATATATGACATAATAAAACCAGTAAACCAACTAAACCATCGGTTCACACAATTTGATATAAATTTTATAATTTTTAGGGTAAACTAGCTGGAAAATCAGAAATTTTTGTTCCACCAGGTGGTTCACTTGCATTTATAGGTTTTAAGGGAGAAAGTATTTTTCTTTCCAAAGAAGGTAACTACCAAGTATCAGGTGATGGTGCTAGCTTGGTTTTTTCTGTTATAGGTAACATACATTAGTTTTTACTTGCGACTTATATACTTTGATTGATGTATTATAATATTTTGGCAATAAGACTGAACTTATCTTCTTTTTGCCCCAGGCGTGTATATACATTTTATTCAAGTTTAAATAAATCGATAAAACAAATTCAAAAAAAGCACTTTACGTCTACGTTATAATTTTATTTCAATAATACAGCATTAACTCAATAAACACAAGACGCAGTTTAGATGTCTATAAACGTCATAAATAGGTCTAGGCAATTACGCAAAGTTGCGTACATTGTTTTTATGAAATATCAATTGTAATTTAATTTAAATCTTTGAAGGAAAAAAAATTTTTTTTTTTGAAAAATGTTTTTGAAACATTATTATAAATTTTTTGCTTATGCTATTAAACCGTAAGTTTTCATGGTATATTGGCAGTACTATTACATAGGGTTTCAACCATTTTTTAAAACAGATAAATATTTAATAATATAAACAAATTTTTTTTTTTTTTAATAATAAAATAATTGTTTATATAATAAACCCAAGAAAAATGCTCTTAAAGGTTTTTGAATGATAAAATTATTATCATTCTAAAGACCTAAAAAATATATATTCTTGTTTGTTACTTTTCTCTTTAGTTTATTGGTTTTACTTTTTTTATGTATAATTAAAATACATTCAGTGACCCTTTTTAAATGTAATAAAGTTTTTCATTAAGGTTCAGGAAATGAACATCTGACGTTTGGAGGATCTGGCCAATTATACACGAATTTCATTCATGAGATGATAGTAAATGACACTGGAAAACTTTTAAGCAATAAAGACATTCATAAAGTTGCAATGAAAATTTTTTCAGATGCCGAGGAACCTTCAGTTATATTAGAAACTATAAAACCGCCATCTAAGTTGAGGGTAATATCTAATGTTAGTGATTCTGTTTCAAACGTAGTAGAAAAGTTGCCAGATCAAAATCATTTAACAGATATCACAAACAGTGACGTTACTACAAAATTCAAAAGCAAAAACAAAATTGATTTAAAAGCAGAAAATGATTACAATGACAAAAGTAAAGTTCAATTAAAAAACTCTGTTAACAAAATGATTTCTGAAAATAAAAACAAACATATAAGTGCTGCAGATTCCAATTCTTTACAGTATCCTTCATCCATTGAACTAAACGATGCAAGCTCTAATGTAGCCTCGATAGGATCGCAATTATCGAATGACAAAGAACATATATCAGAAGAAAACAATATACTAGAGGAACGGTTTTCAAATAGAAAATATTTGATAAAACAAAGTAAGAATAATCCGCAATCAGAAACTATTATGAGTAAAGAAAGTCAGCATATTGCTGAAAAACATCCTAATGTTATCAAGGATCCAACATCTTTTAAAAATATATTCGAAAAGTTCTCTAACAATGCAACAGATCGATCCTTTGAAGAAGGACTTCTGCTTTCTGATGACTTGGCTCATAGTTTAAAAAAAGTTTCAAAAAACAACAAACTCAACCAGATGGATGATTTTAAAAATGATATCAGGTTTAAAAATACATTCTTAGGGTATCAAGAATTAAACAATCAAAACAGTTCACTATTTGAACAAAATAAAGAGGAGAATCTTTTAAAAGATCAAACAAATATAAAACCAAATCAAATCGATATTTTACATCATGAAGCAAAAAATTCAGAAAGCGAGATTAAATTAAACCATCAAAAACCCGACTTAAAAGAAACCAACCAGGTAGGAGAAATTCATTCCCCAGAAGAATATGCTGAACATTTATATCAAGGTAAAAAATTTTCATTAACATCGAACTTTATAAAAAATGAAGTCCAAAGTGATGAAAGCAAAATATTGGAGTCAAAACCATTTAAATCCGAAGTAAATTTAGAAACTCCATTATATTTCTTATCTCCAAAGGACAAGGATGAAATCAGTGAAGAACTTCAAGATAGAATGAAAGAAATGGTACATAAAGAGGTAAATGAAACATTGAAGCATTTTATTCTTGAACCTAGAAATGATCAAGAAAGTTTTTCTAAAGAAATCAAAAATGTTGATGATCGTGAAGAGAAACCAATTGTTGAAGAAACCATTGAAAAAAACCAAAAAGAACCCAACAGCAAAGACTATAAACACAAATCAAACAACAGCGGAGAGGAAAACAATAAAGAATTCGTTGAAGTATCCGACAGTACTTCTAAGCTAAATTATAAAGTTATTCCTTTAGAAAACCAGCCTGGTGAAAAGAGTCATATTAATAAAAATATTTATCACGAATCATTGATAAAAAAAATATTTGAACCAAAAACCGAATTAACAATTAAAAGTAAGCTGCATGAAAGGTTCATCAAAAAAAATAAAGACTTATCAAGTTTTACCACTCAACTACAAACCAATAGAATTCAAAGCGAAAAAAATGTTTCTGTTGGACATTTTAAAAAAAGGGAGAGACTATTAATAAAAAAAGAAAATCAAAGGAATCGCGAAAATGGAAATAAGTTGGCGCAATTGGCGCAGCTAGAAGATAAAATTGTTGCAAATAGACTTAATAAAGATAATGATTTTCAAATCAGTAATAAAAATACATCCATTATGAATAAAGAAATGGAACATTTAAAAGAACAAGAGTTGTTAAATGAAGCCCTATCAAAAATAAGTGCAGAAACAGAAGACATAAAAAAGCAAAACGATTCCCAAAAGTCAATTCAACAGGGAACGAACTGGTACAGTAATGATGACCTTATAAAAAGTTTAGTTGATACAAGCGAACAATCATACCCAGTAAAGGTTAGTAAAAAAACTGATTCAGTTAATCTATCAAAATCGGCTTTTGTATCAAATAACTTTCATAATTTCAACGATGGTAAAGATAGCGAGTTAAATCAAGATCGGTTGAGTAGTTCGTATGATTGCAAGCGACATAAAATAATCAAAAACGGAAAAAAATCAAATAAAAAGCACTGTATTGAGAAGGTTCGTTTTACAAATTTTTTGAAAATTAGTTTATTATTAGATTCAGCAAGACGTATTTATTGTCTAAAGTAGTTTTTAATTAAATTAAGAAGCTTTCTAGATGTTTGGTAGATTTTTTTAATAGTGACCGTACAACACCAAAAATGACAGACACGTAACCACACTTTCTTACTTTTTAATAACTTTTAAAGTATTAAAGAAGCCTTTAAACTTTTATATATATATATATATATATATATATATATATATATATATATATATATATATATATATATATATATATATATATATATACATATATATATATATATATATATATATATATATATATATATATATATATATATATATATATGTGTGTGTGTGTGTGTGTGTGTGTGTGTGTGTGTGTGTGTGTGTGTGTGTGTGTGTGTGTGTGTGTGTTCTAATATTTATAAAGCTTAAACATAAAATGTTATATTTATTCAGAACAATCCATCAGAGAATACTAAAAACGCACATTCCATTGCTCATAGTAATACATATTCAACATTTGGAGAAAACCTGGATTCGGATGAAAACCCATATGGAGCAAACAAAAGTTTATTTGGGCAAAACCAAAAAGGTTTTATGAGAGGTAATCAGAAATAAATTATGAAATTGGATAAATTTTATTATTTTATTAAAATTTATTTATGCTGCGTGTTGTAAGTATTCATATTTATTTTTCATTTTCATACAAAACCGAAAAATGCGAAGGTAATTTAAACTTTAAAATAATTACATCATTGTTACATCGTTGTTACATCATTGCTACATCTTTGCTACATCATAGCTAACAAAGTAAAAAAAATAAGTTTAAAAAAATCTACGTTTTTTACATATTTATCAAGACTAAATCTTTGTTGAAGACAAATTTTAAAAAATGCCAAAAAGAAACGCGTACAACGGTTGATGCCTGGAGTTGATATACTAAAGCATAAATCTATATATAAGGGATGCGGAGTCCCAAATGGACTCCGGCTTTATATCTCTATTTTTTTTAAGTCTGTAGTGTCCAGAAGCACTAAATATGTTTTTTGACTTATGATCTACTATAAGGAAAAAATTCATGAGATTTAATAACTTGAAACTTATTGTTTTTAAGCCCGGAATTATGGAGTCTTTGCCGTCATTATACTTACGGACTCCGGATTCAAAAAATGATTTTTCTTCTAACCTAAAAGTCTTACTTTTTTCCCTATTAGTAGTCCACAAACTTATTCATATTTTTAGAGCTCCTGGATACCAAAAACTAGGATGAAGTAATCATTTTGTGACTTTCAAATCCGGAGTCCTTTTTGGCACTCCACATCCCTGCTTTATGTACTTTTACATTATTAACATATCTTATGTTGTTATTTTTAGACAACGATCAAATTAATTCTGTACTAACTGCAAACAATCCTCCATCAGCCATAGATAATTCAAATTCAAGAAGAGATATAAACTCGAACAATATAGATGCTAGTTTAAAGGAAACAGAGTTCAAATGGAAAAAATAGCAACTTTTTAAAAGTCTTTTTTAAAGATATAAACCGCTACCATAAAAGAATTCAACAAGTTTTCAATAAAGACGAAAATAGAAGCATGCAAACAATGTGTTTTTATTTTAAAATGTTCATTCGCGTGGTATCTAAACAACATTTACTACTGATAAATACATCAAGACTAAAATAAGCAACTTTGCCATAGCAGTTCCTTTACAGTATTAGCTTAACATAATATAAAATAATTTTTTTTAGTATTTAATGCTGCTGCCAAAGCAGTATAATTTATATTTTATGATTGTAAATATATTTTTTAAGTACTTATTGTTTATAACATTTAGTATCAAACATTTGAATAATGGTTGATATATGTTAAAGACTCTCATAAAATTAGAGCGGTTTAATAAATAGAGTATCATCAGCAAAACGAATAAAAGTTTGATTTGTTAGATGATAAGTAAATTTTGCTTATACGTTTTAAGCTTATTAGTTTATTATCAACAATAGCTCTATTATGATTTCTTCTGGTAGTTTATTATACCGTTTTGCAACTCTGTTTCTCATAATATTTACTTTTGGTTGTAAAAGTAAAACTAAATCTTAGAGAAAAGCGTAAAACCGAGAGTAAGTTAAGAGTAAAGCGTAAAATGCAACAAACTTTTTGCTTTTTATAATTCTAACAACGTGCTTTATAACTCTTTATGTTTACGTCAGGATTATCTGCTGAAATAGAATTTTCTTAGTTTGGTTAAGTGAGATATTTGGTTAAGTGAGTTAAGTGAGTTAAGTGAGTAGATGCTTTAACTTTGGAATCAATTTAGTTACTCGTTGTTGAACATTTTTTAACTTTTGTATATCTTTTAATTAAAGGGATTCCATACATTACATAAAATTTATTACTTTTTTTTCTGTGTTAGTAACTGGTTTAATCAATTTTTTATTTATTTACATCTTCGCTTCCAACAATTCTGCAAGCAACCACTATAAAAGTTGGAAGTTACTGAAAGAGAAAAGATGAAGTTTGTAGAAAAAATAACAAATGACAGATGACTTAAAAGATTGCAAATTATATGAATCAGTAAGGCAAGGAGAAGGAAGAGAATTCCAAAGAACTGATGTTTGAGGAAAAAATTAGACAAATAAGAGTTTTTGGAGCACATAGGAACAGTAACAGTAGAAGGATGAGACTTATTTGAATGACGAGTAACACGATAATGAATTTTGTTAGATGGCACAAGAGGCGCTAGCTCTTTAGAGCAGTTCCCATTGTAGTATTTGTAGAAAAGAAAAAGAGAAGCAACATTACGATAATTTAATAATGGTTGGAGGTTGCCTGCAAGAGCTAGTCTAACTATGTTTACAATGCGTTTTTGTACATTGTCGAAAAGAGAAAGAGCATCATTAGAAGAACCGTCCCAGATCTAGCAACAGTATTACATACAAGGACGGATTTGAGATTTATAGAGATAAAAATAGAATCCGGAGTAAGAAAGTGCCGAGCTCGATAAAGAGATGCAAGATGCCAATTTTACAATGGACTTGATATACGGTTTCCTAGATAAATTGGAAGTAAGAGTTAATCCTAGAAGATGAAGGATAGATGACTCATTGAGTACATTGCTGTTCGTAAATATAAGAAGATCTAAATTATTGCGATAACGTTTGGCTGAAAAAAATTGAACTTTATCTGAATTAAAGTTCACCAGCCATTGCGAGCCCCATGCTCTAGCTCCTTTTTAAGCTTAGATGCCCCCTCCAAGCAATCTCTCTGATTGCTTGGAGGGAGCATCTGAGAAACAATGCCACCTTAGATGTAAGAATATCTATAAGATTGTTAATGTAAATTAAAAAGAGTATAGGGCCAAGGATTGAACCTTGAGGAACCCCTGAAGTTACAGGATATGAAAAAGAGTGTTGTCCATCAAGTACAACTTTTATACTACGATTGGAAAGAAAGGAATCAATAATATTAAAGTTGTTACCAAATACACCAAAATAAAAAAGACCAGCATGACAAACTTTATCAAAAAATTTAGAAATTTCAAGAGCGATAGCCTTAAACTCTCCACCTCTGTCTAATGCACAATAAAACCAATCGGTTATCACTGTTAGCAAATCAGCTGTAGAACGGGAAGATCAAAATTGATATTAATAATCAGAAAGTAAGTTATTAGATTCAAGATGAGAGAATAAGTGTTTTTTAATTAAAGATTTAAAATCCTTGCTTATGATAGGAAGAAGACTAATGGGACGGTAGTTAGACGAGTCAGACCACTTTTCAGAATTTTTGAAAATAGGGGTAACAGATGCCGTTTTCCAGTATGTCGGAAAAAAGACTCTGACAAGCACTTGTTAAATTGTTTTTAAAGTATGGATGACAACTCCGGAAACACTTATGCAAGACTACAAGAGTGATACGAACATCAAGCAATGGATGAAGCTGTTTTACGGCAATATCAGGTAGAAGGCAACTAGTGGAGTCAAGAAATGATATTAATGAAACATTCTTAGCAAACCATTCAGCTTTGTCTTTAGGTAAGATGACAAAGTCTGAAACATACAAGAGAGGTGGAATAACAGATTTGCTTTAACTATTGTTACTGTTAAAGACTGCCCAAACGTCACGAGAGCCTAATTTTTATAATGAAATAAGAGATTTCATGACCTGAGAAGAGCGGGCTTTGGAGTTAGATAAAACCTTTTCACAATGGTTTATAGCAATAGTAAACAGACATTTGTTTTCTGAAGAATTGCTTTGCTGATAGATATGGAAGTAGTGGTTTAAACTGGAAATTGCGGCAACACAATGTGAGGAGGACCATGGAAAAGAGTGGGGCTTGACCTGCAATTGTTGAGTAGGAATAAAAGACTCCATGCCAGCCTGAATCCACAAAAGTTACGTAAGAAGTACATTTGTCAGCAGGAAAACGAAAGATTTCTACCCAAGATTTATCACGAAGAAATTCACGGAAAGAGTTCCACTTAGCATTAAGGTAGCTGTAAGAGGTACAATGATAGAAGGATTCTGATAATGAAGAAGAATGAAATAATAGTTTTAGAGAGATCAAAATGTGATCAGAAACACCAAGGGTTAATGTGGAAACTGAGCATTGACTAGGATCAGTAATAAGACATAAGTTGATTAGAGAAGGTAAATGATTTGATTTGTTTAGAAAGCGTGTTGGAAAGTTGACTATTTGAGTTAAAGGTTGAGAAAGACAGAAGTTAAGAGTCTTAACGCCAGCGGAGTCACTGACATTAGAGCCAAGCCACTCAGTGTGATGAGCATTAAAGTCACAAACAACAACGATATTGGCTCATAAATAAAGAGAGAAGGCTTGGTCAATTTGATCAGAAATAACATCAAAAAAAGTGCAGTCTTGAGGTGAAGGAGAGTAGTATAGAACAAAGAGACAGACGATAGAGTGAAGAGGTGCTATGCCAAAGTACATAAAAGAATAGTCTGCGGATTCAAACCTAGTTTCCCGACAAAGGTAAATTCTTAGCAATCTAAATCCCCGGTCAAGCATATCTATGAAATTCAAATGGGTAAATTCTTAGCAATCTAAATGCCCCGGCCTAAGCATATGACTATTGGAGTCTTTAAGAATTAAAAGAAGATAACCATCAACACTAAGATCACATCTGTGCCAGCCTAATAGATGAAAGATGGGTGCGAGACTGGTCAACAGATAAAATTGTATACCTCTTAAGTCTTTCCTTAGAGGCCTTCTACAAAACAGTAGCCGGATGCGTTTTAACATCACCCCACGATGATTATTTTTTTCGAAACACCATCTCTAGCCCTAACCAAGAGCCCCAAGGCAGGGGATGTTTTAATTCTGAGTTGTTTTCTCTTAGCCTTTTTTTAAAAAAAGTGTATCTTACAAGGCAGCAGGACATGAAGCAGGTTGTACTGGGTTACATGTTACCAGAGCAGGATAACCTGACCTGACAGCCTATTAGCTTTGTTTACATTTTTACATGTTTTTTACAAGTTTTTTACATGTTTTTAATTGAACTAAACGACTATTTGCTTTATTTACAACCAATTTTACAAGGCGATTCTACTTCATAGTATAATGATAATGTTTATGGTTTTTCATATTTTGATGGTAAAACTTATCGTCAAATAAAAATTATCGTCAAAAAATTAAAAAAAAATATTGTCAAAAAGTTGGTACACTCAAGCTCAAAATTACTTGAAAAAACGGTACATACATGCTCAAAATTAGCGTCATAAATTCATTTCAAAAATAAAATTTTGTTGTTAAGATATTGTGTAACTTTATATTGATACTATTGAAATATGTTAGTAGCCTAAATTAGGTTTTCTCACTAAATTTTTCACAACTACGCACAAAATCCCACTAGCTTTCGCCATGAACAAAATTTTCCTGAGATGCCTTATTAAACCAAGTTAATGGTGACAAAAAAAAGTTTTAAAAGACAACTCTGCTTCAGCTTCACTTTGTAAATGGCAACTGTGGGAATATTTATCTGATTTGTTGTTAATATTTGTTAATATGCCAACCCTTGTTGGTATGTCAACTTTGTTGATATGCTAACATTTATTAATACGCCAACAATTGTTGATTTGACTTTTGAATTGCATTAAGTTTCATTTTTAATAATATGAAGTGACTCAATTTAATTATGAGTATTTCTTTGTAAATTTAATGCTGTGCAACTGGCTTGACCTAGCTCTATCGCTAAGAACTATTGCTGTATATACTGAAATGTGCTGAACTATTCTGAAACATATTATTGCTTTTTTGCGCGATTCAGCCCAATTGACATCCACTAGATTTAAAACATGACTTTACCATTTAGCAAAAGTACATTTGTTTTTTTGTTGTCTCAATAGTGTTTGCACGCCCTCATGTTCTCCTGACAAATTAGCACCATTGTCATAAACCTAGTAAATGCATGTTTTGAAATCTTAAAAATATTTTATTTTCAAAAAAAAACTACCATTTAAACAATCATTAGTTTATTAACTTGAACCATAAAAAGCTAAACCACGTTCAAATATAAAAATTAAGAATATCTAAAACACACTCAAGAAGTTTTTCAGCGTTCATTTTTAGACTTGAGTTCAACTATAAGTTATCAACTAAAGATAGCATACAAAGTTTTAAATTATTGACTAAAGATATCTTATAAAGTTATCACCTAAAGATAACATAATAGTGTTTTATTTGTCAATTTTCGTGCAAGAATAATCATTTTTTAATCACATAAAATATTTAATTTTTATGTCACGACATACAATCATTTAACTTCCTGCCAATAATTCATTATTCGTATTTTTTGAAATATTAGACAAAGTTTCAAAAACGACAATTTAAAAAAAAGAATGTATAAATTAATTTGTACATTCTTTTCTTTAAATTCAAATTTTCTTTAAAAAAAAGTTACTGTGATAGGAGAATGGGAACAAGAAACCCAAAAATCTTAGCTCCACTACC